ATGAGTTGTTTATCAACCATTGTGTATCAGTTTATTGGGTTCAACGAGCAAACATATGGGGATATAACTGATAAGCAAGGGTTGATTCGCCGTTGAAAGATACAATATTGGGGGATAGCCTGGTATCACTCCACTGATAGGTTTTTTTAAATGCCCACTACGATGATTTCCTAATGATGGGAGGACTACAGACCATTTGCGATGCTTTGACAGGGCATGCATGGGAATGGCTCAGAAATTATCAAGCAGGAATCAACCATCCAGGTTTGAGGAAATGTTTTTGGTTAATATATGTGTTTGAAATTTAACAATTATGCAATACCTTATAGCTGAACCATCCAAATGATATTCATCATGTGGTTTTTATAAAATTGGTTTTATCATAGGACAGAGAAAAGAGTTGTAGGGCGTGTATCCTAACTTATGGTGTTGATCACCGTCTTAAGAAATCTCCTCGTTTCATCATCCCAACTGACTTTCACTCCATCATTTTTCAGAGGGGCAGGTGGCTCAACCACCAACCAGATAGCAATCCCATCTAAATATAATTATGAGTATCATACACTATTGTTATCATAGTTATAAACCAACTATAGTTATCTATAATTATCTATAGTTAACAGGTTATTAACCATTATAACCATAATCTCAATGGGGCATCCACAAGGCCAACGCCTATGCCCGCGCCATGCTGCAGCACCCCGAAAGCCTGGAATTCGTGGCGCGCCAGGCAGCCAGTGATGGTCAGCGGCCATCGGGGAAATCTAAGGGATATCTGGGAAAATCTGGTAAAAATACCATCTGGTTATTTAACATAGCCATGGAAAATCCCTAATTCCCTAATAAATGGAGGTTTGTAGCTGGGAAAAATCATCTATTTCTATGGGCCATGGCTTCCATGGCTATGTTAAATAACTAGAGGGTATTTGAAATTTGGGATGACAAATCAAACTACGGGATATCTGGGTAAATTGGCTAGTGACTTGGGGAGCTTGAGAACCTACGGAAATCGTCGGATAGATCAAGTGAACCAGTGATGTGATTTCTTGCAGCGTATCTCGGCCAACGAGATGAGGAAAACCGTGCAACTATGGTTATATACCTACTTGTTAAGTGGAACTGCACCATGTTGTAGCCAGTTTTACGGAGAATATGATGATTTATCAGTGGACTTTAGGGGGACAGGGAAATGGTGATATAAACCAAAAACAAACAGGGATATCGGGATGTAAACTTAACCAAACACAATAACTGCGCCCATCACTTGTTTGGAGCTGGTTGATTTTTTGTTCTAGACTGGGGTACCCCAGCCTGAAATTTGGGCATGCCCAGTGGTATGCACAGCTTGGCTACAGTTCAGTGAACCCGCATTTAACCAGACCAAGATCGAAAACATAAAGTGGATTATATTCAAAGAAACCGGCTTTTCACTAGAAAGATCGAAAACATAAAGATGTGGGTTCCATTCACAGAAACTTTCGCGTGCAACCAGCCGAGCCTTTTTGACCGCGAAAACCAGCCGGCACCGTCAACAAGATGGGACTTGATGCCAACCCATTTGATGACAAAAAAACCTGAAACATCCTGAAACTAGGTCAGAATCCACATATCTGGGTAAATTATAACGACCTCACTGCGACCGAACCCTGGAATAATGGTTAGTAATTAAGGGAAATCATCCCCAAATGGCCCAACAATTCAGGTTAGTGAAATATTATTTCATTTACCCAGACATATGACATATCATCATCAACTGTTTGCAGCTGAAGAATACGTTCCCATTGGTCAGCAAATCCGCATCAAACATGGAGTCCCCTGAAGCCCCTTTCGTCGATTTTCCCAACGAAACCTCCATTTCCATCACCATGATATCACCATCATATCCCGTCGGTGATTACATCTCTATTCGCCTTTCTTTCATGAGATCTCGGTTAAAACAAAAAAATGTCGTGGGATGTCCCGATGGTTAACTGAAGGGTTGCCAGGTAGAAGCGCTGGCCCGACAGCGAGAGATGGAAGTGCGCAATGTGGTGCGGCACTGCGGCCGGTGGATGTGTGCTGGAATTCAATGGGAAATTTACCATCTGGTTATGACTAACATAGCCATGGTATAGATGGCCCATAGAAATAGATGGTTTACCGATTAAAAATTGTGATTTTCCATGGCTATGTTGAGTAATCAGACGGTATGTTTATTTTTCAATGGAAGCTATGATTGTGTGGGTATAACCCATGTGTATCATAACAAAGGGTCTTATTTACTACCATATAGAAAAATTACACTACCCAATATATTGGTGATTCTCATAATCCCAAAGGAAGATACTTCAATTTGCTGAGTCGGTGTTTTGTTGAATTTTCCCATTGCCGCCATGGGAATCCACTGTGATAGATTGTTTCATTTTTGGGTGGAAAACAATCAAACATGGCAATTGAAAATGTCCGTCTAAATGGAAGTCTTAATGGGAAACTGAACTATAAATGGTGGAGTTTCCATTGC